CGTGTGGTGACTCATCTCTTTTCTTTATAACATGTGGTGCAAATTACTGACCTCTGTCATCATTTTAAGTGGGGGAACTTGCACAATCGGTGGCTGACTAAATACTTTTTTGCCCCACTGTATTTCTTACAGTTTAAGCCCAAACAACATTTCTTTCATTGACTAGAGCAGCATTTCTAGTCTGGAATCCCTGACTCAAGGTATGAACTGACCCGACTCCTGAAACCTCTTAATTCAATCCCAAAATGCCACCACAGCAAACAAGGATGCCCTCCAAACATCCCAGTTCCAGACACCAGGGGATATTCCTGAGATCAATGACCAAACACTGCTTTTTTTATCAGCACGAGAAAAAATGAGACAATATTGGGCGAGTGGTTTTAATGTTGTGCCTCATCCGTGTGTGCATCTCTTTTATGCAATGTGATGTTGAATGTCTTGTCCTAGTTCATTTGTATTGTTGTCATTAACCTTGCCCTCACAATCATTAGTCTTTTAAACCATCAGGAAGTCCCTCTTTTTGAATTACCCTCCATCCATAAACCATCTATGCCTGAGCCAACCCTCATCCACCCTTAGTCCACTTGTTCCCTTCAACCTAGCACCCACAGACATCCCTCCCATCAAATCAAGTGTTGCCTGTTTGCATTCCTCACCCCTCATCAATTCTTCATCCAGTTACCCAATCACAGTGCTACCCTCATCTAAAGTTAACCCTACCTAACCACCTTCTCTCCGTCTTACTACATGACAGACCACCCTAACCAGCTAAGTGGAAGATTAGCAGCTTTACTTCTAAGTCAGCCTTTCTCTTGGCCGCGGTCAGCCTGGTCAGCTGAGGCAGTTTCGTCACATACCTCAGCTGCTCCGGCCAAAGTGAAACAAGTGTAGCGCTCACAAAGGAGCGTGAAGTGCACTTGTTTTCACTCACCACATTAAAACTCAGACACTGGAAACTAAAAGTTAACAGCATACTGCTGTCAAAGCTACGAGCCCAGGTTGTTTTGTTGAGCTTTATTGGCCGAGATTAAAAATACTACAAATAATACTAATCCATAAATACTATTTTTTTCTGTCAACTCTGATCACATCAGCAAGCAATCCCTTGTCTCTGTGTGTGTGCTGCAAGTTAGAGGACAGACTGAGCAATGATCAAACACAACCCTGCACCTGACTAAAAAGTGTTCAGTCATGAAGAGTTAACTTTTCCCACCACCGCATGATGATCTGTGCATGTGCTGGTTCTGAGATGGGCCGCGGGGGGTTTGTGTGTGTGTGGCAGTGGTTGGGGGGGGGGGTGGGGGGTTGAGTCAGCGAGGAGAGGCAGGTCAGGGGGAGGGTGTGACTGGCCTGGCGGACCATAGCGAGGGAACAGTATGTAGGACAGGGCCTTGCACTAGCTAACCTATCCTGGCTGGAGCCGTGGTTGGGTGTGCTGAATTTCTGCATGCATGATCAATGGCAGTGAATAAAAAAAGAGAGAGAGAGAGGAGAAAGACAGCAGCGTGGGGGAGGGGAAGGAACAAGTTGGAGCAACATGAAAAGATATAGAGAGGTTAAAGGGAAAAAAGTTCTGGTTTTACCTGAACTGTTGTGATATTGAAGCGTGCTGTTTCTCTAAGCGATTATTATTTAAAGACAAGAAATACAATGAGAGAACTGTTGGGAAACAGATTTTTGTAGCCTGAGAAACGTTGACTAAGTTGTTTTATGGGCTTAAGCAACAGCTTTGGCAGATTTTAGTGTGTGAAAGCAAAATTTGCACAGTTATGTGTGTGAGTGTATGTCCCTGGGTAAGTGTATGAGAAAGGTTTTCAGTGCATTCATTTCACGTCTCATTTTGGCTTTTGCTCTATGCATCTTCATCCCTCTGTCTCCTTGTCACAGAAGTTTGTCCAATCCTTGGCCTTTGTTTCCTTGACTGCATCTGACCCAGAGGGAGATTCCATTGTTGGTGAGTGAACTTTGACCTCTCGGGGCCTGGGACCTGCTCTACGCCACCCTCCAGGCAGCTCTAAAGGGCGAGGCGAGAAGTGGCGTCGAGCGAATGGAGCTAGAGAGCCAGGTTCTGATCATCTGAAAAGCTAGTGGGGGAGCCTCGGTGGACAGTTTTTTA